TCTCATATTTTGCTCTGAGCTTTCTTCATAGAAATTGTATGGGTTTGGCTTTCTTTTTTTTTAAATGTGAGTAGGAGACCAGGTGGTTTTAGAGCTAACCCAAATCACATCACCAAACCAAATACACCAAATGAAGGGAGTCATCTGACTTCTCTAGCTCTCTTTCTGGGAGGTTATTTGCCTTAAAATGGAAGTTAAAAGGTTTTGCACAGCAACTCGTATTTAACTGTGAGGAACAGCATAAATGCTGGCTAAAAATTGTAAGCAACACCATCTGAGTCACACTGAAGACCTTCCTTCTTCCCATCCATCAGTGTTAATGCCCTCACAGCTGTGGCAGATCCGTGGTGGTTAAGCAATGCAAGCTGGCAGGGAGAGGCAGAGAGTACCGTTACTATAATTACTGACAGCATGGTTGGTTTTTTCCAGCTCTATCTGTTGCTGAAGCAGTTGGTATTACCTTTCTCCAAGATTTTTGCCTGCAGGATGCTTTTTTCCAGATTCTCTCAGACCAGCACCTCTACATATATTTATTACTACAGAAATTATGCTGAATCCTCATCTTAACTCCTTTTTTTTCCCCCTAGCACCATTAACTTCAGTAGCTGGGGAAACAGCTGAGGGTCTGCTCCAATATTTTGTGTGCCCTCCAGCATGTGTACAACACCCCTGCCATAAAAGCAAGCAAGCAACACATCAAGGAGAATCATGAAGAAGCCAGATGTATCAGTTTCATGATGACTCAAGGACAGCAAACTAAATCCAAACAGTCCCAGTATAAATCTACTTGGAAAGAGAGACTGCACCAAGTTTAAAGATCTTGCCCATAATTTGCAGCCAGTTGGGCTAGCAGGGCCTCTTCCTGCTCTGGTTAAAGTCAGCAGCCGAATTTCCATTGCCTTTGCTGGAAACACCTGCAGAGCACAGCAGCTGTGCCAATCTGCCAGGGGCAGTAAGGCAGAAATAGCAGCCCCATGTGAAACCATAGCAGGGAATCTGACACGCACAAAACACAAACGCCCGTGCTGGGATCTGGCCAGAGTGGAATGGGAACAGATGAGAGGTCTCAGCAGCCGGGCTGCCAAGGTAAGAGCCATCTCCAAACTGCAATGCTGAAGAGCAAATGCTAAACTGGTGCAAGCAGTGTGGCTGTACTGGTGTAACCACATTGGCTGGGAAGCTTGGTGTTGACCTTTGAGATCCCACCTGTCCTTTCTTCTTTGCCCACATGCACATCCCCTTCTCTTGCCCTCTGTCCTCCCTTGAACAGAGAATGAATGGCCTCACCAGCCAGCAAGCAACATTTCTGCATTGAAACACCCCTTCAGTTAACAAACCAGTGGGTAGAAAACATGCACAAAGGCACATGTCTTCCTAGCAGAGGGAGTAATGCAGCAGAGAAGCCACTGAGCCAGGAGATAGGAGGCCTCCAAGAGAGAGACCTTAAGTGGTTGTGTTCATAGCTCTATTGCTGACTGACAGTGGGTTCTTTGGGCTCAGAAAGATCTGTTTCATTTTAAAGGGAAAGCTCATCTGGGGATCTCGTTAGCACCATCACGAAAGACAGAAATGAACTGGAGGTTGGTGGAGTGGTAACAGGGAGGGAAACATGACAGAAGCACTGTTAAGCTGCGTTTAAACTGGCAAAGGAAGGAGTTTAGGAACACTCTGCCCTGTTGGGACAGCCTTGCTGCCTTGGGAAGGGCTGCCACCTCATTCTCTCTGGAGGCTGAATGGCTGGGATGGGAGAGTGATGTTCAGGAGAGCAGCTGCTCAAAAGCTCAACCCAAGGCACCTACTGATCCACCTGCGCTCCTGGGGCAGTTTTTCTGCTGCCAAATCCCTCTTCCTCTTCGTCCTCCTCCTCCCTGTGCTCTCACTCTTCCTGGTATCTGTCCTCCTCCTCTCTCCCATCACTGGCTGGACACTGTTGTTTGTAGGGGGCAGCAGCTCTGGCGAGGTTGTGCCTTCACAACTGGCAGCTCTGGCCAAGGCGTCCATGGCTGTGTCTGCAGTGGTGGGCGGCGCGCTGGGGTTGTTCCACGGCCATCCCACTCTGCAATGCTGAGGACTGGTTTGACACAGGATCGTGGCAGCCCTACACATTTTAAAGCTAATTACTCACTGAAAGCTGCTACCTTTCTGAAGACTCCATTGCAAGAAGGGGGTGTAGTAGTCTGTGAAAGAGCAGTTTAGTGGGTCCAGAACAAGGGTAGGTTTCCCTCTGTTAGGCTGAGAAAAGTCACAAAAGCAACACCCTAAAAAAGCAAAGAACCCACAAAAATAGGAAGGGAAAAAGAACATACTTAGTTAATCTGAAGCAACATTTCTTAGCTGTAACTGCAAATCATCTTAAGAAACGTGAACAGACATAAGTTAGGCCCCCTGTGCTCACCAGAGGTAATATTTGTTATTACAATTTCTTCTACATAGTGTCACAAAATGCCAAATAGCCCTGTGCTTCTTTCAAGCACAGCCTGTTCAAACAACTGGTGAGTCTTGCTTGGAACACCTGGCAAAGGAGAGAGATGCATTCATCTACCTGTGTCTTGAAGAAATCGAGGAGAGATGTTTATCAAGGAAATGAGTAATACAAACGGCTTGGCTTTCAGCAGACTTGGAAATACATAGAGCAGGTTCCAGCACAGGTTTGTAAGACATTAATTAGCAGTGAGTGGGGAAAACGAGTGATGAGTGTTATACTCTGTGCTGCAGTCTTGATTAACTTAATAGAAGTGACTGAACTATAAGCTCCCAGTGAAACACCTCCTAAAATTAAGTGTTTCTCCAGAAATGGAGCTGTTCGTTTCACAGCAGGAA